CGGCGCTGGGTCCCCGGACCCAATGACTCCTCCACTGGCTTCTGGCTGCTGCGCCGGGACTCCTGCCCCACTGGCTGCTCCACTTGTACGCCTGATTCAGCGCTCGCAAGAGAAATTCTGTCTTCGGCCTCATTTTCCCCTCCTTTGGCCGAGGCAGTGCTGCTCTGGGATTTCTGGGCCCTGACCTTGAGAAGCTCCGAGAGCGCTTTCCTAGTCCAAATGAGACTCGTCTGCTGACTCTTATTTGTCATTTCTCTGCTCGTTCTTGGGCTGATCCAGATGACTCCCTCCTCGGCATACGCTCCGTTCCCCCCCGGAACCTGCTCTCTCGACCCTCGCGACGATTTCTGGCTGTGCTGGGACAGTTGCCGTAGGGACTGCTGGATACTTTGCCAGGATATTTGCCCCAAAATAGTTCTGCTCGTCTTCTCGCTCCCAGCAGCGTCTGTCTGTTGAGCCTGGTCCATCAGCTCCTTTCTTTTATAAACACTCACGGAGCTGTCGGTCTGCTGGGCCTGGCTCATCTTGGCTTTGCCCAGCTTCCTGCTCTGCGAGGTGCCCTTCTCCACAGGCTGCGGCACGGCTGCCCCAGCGTCCTCGTTCTCAGAGCCCTCTGGCGGCTGGGGCTGAGGCGTCTCATCTTCAGATCCAGCGTCGTTGTCATTGCTGAATTTGGCACTTTCTGCATCGTCGCTCTGCCGGTCTTCGTCGGTGTCTTCTTTGCCTGCGATTTGGACGGTGTAGGTTACTTGTTCTTGGTAGAGGGTTGTCCCGGCGTCAGCCATCTCTTCTTTTGCCGGTGTAGTGCTGGTCTGAGATGGTAACTCCCTGGTCAAGCTTATCTCAAATTTCTCTGGTTTACTAGCTAGCGGGGCCACGGGTCTCACACTCCTGCCTGGTTCGTGCCCCCAGGGTGTGTCTGCCTCTTAAAAACTAGGTGTTGTAATCTAAGTTTCACCCTTGTTGAATGTCACTTCAAGGGGGTTTTCTTCTCATCAGGGCTGTGACTTGTCTTTAGGCTGCCTCATTGTCTAGGTGGGTGGTCAGAGTCTGTGTGTTTCGTCTTCCTACGCAGAGCCAGTTGGAACCATGGCACAAATGCTAAAAGAACAGCCCCGTGTCCTTCGCCCTGGGTCTCATCCTGCGCCACGCGTCTTCCTGGTGGATTCCTCCTCCGGCTTTGTGACTCGCGGCCATGCCGTTCTAGAAGCTTCACCTGTCTGTGACATCACTGTCTGTCAGCAGGGGCCCGTCTCTCTAGTCATTGACTAGAGTCGGGCCCGCATCAGAAACCCACACCTGAAACCAATTCCTCTCTGAGGACCCGGGACCCACGCTGGAATTTGTGGCTCTGTTCCACCTCTAAACTTGCCCGACAGCTCTCTTCCCACGGAATGCCCCTCGAGCTGAAGGGGAGAGGCAGCGATTTGCTGTTCCCTTCCGTTATCTCACAACCTCTGAAACCGCAGCAGCCTGGGTTCCAGGCCCGTGCGCATCACAGCTTCCTTTCCAGTCAGCTCGCTTCTCCGATGTACCATTCAGCTGGAAATTCATTCCAATTTTAAACGTCCAGCTTTGTTGTCCTGGTTTGATTTAGAAAATCCGCTTTGCAGCATTTTCCTGAGGTAAGTTTTATGAGACACAAAGAGGAGAGGAAATGCAAAACACAAGTCACCAATGCTTATTTCAGCCCAACCATGTCACCGGCTGGACTGGGCCTGACAAACTAAGATTTCCAGAACGTCAGAAGTACATGGCCACACACAAACAGGCATGTGCCATTGTGTGCCTGATCAGCATCAGCAATTACACCCAAATTGGACATTTACCTGAGCATATACCCCAAGAGATGTCTCTGTGACAGATATTTGTCTGTCCAGAACTCCATTCCTTTGTGCGGTTATAATGACCTAGGGAACGTAGACATGCAACTTAATAAAGAATTTTGCATACGGTCCCAAGTGCACCAGGCAGGGGATAGAGAAGTTTATCAGGGGCCCAGAGTTTCACAGCTAAGACTTCATCTTTAATTCACAGCACAGCAGTATTGCTCATGTAGTGTGAACTATCCTGCATCTCAGGAAAGTTGCCCAGTGAACTCCTCTGGATAATCCAGCAACAAAAATGATGAGGGGTTTGGAACGGGTCCCATATGAAGACAGATTATAAAAGACTGAGACTTTTCATCTTAGAAAAGAAAAGCCTCAAGGGGGATGTGATAGAAGTCTATGAAATCATGACTGGTGTGGCGAAAATGAATAAGGAAAAGTTATTTACTTGTTCCCATCACATAAGAACTAGGGGTCAGCAAATGAAATGAAGGGGTAGCAGGTTTAAAACAAACCAAAGGAAGTTTATCTTCATACAGTGCACAGTCAATCTGGAACTCCTCGCCAGAGGACGTGGTGAAGACCAGGACTTTAACAGGGTTCAAAAAAGAGCTAGAAAGATTCACGTAGGTTAGGGCCATCCATGGCTGTTAGCCAGGCTGGGTAGGAACGGTGTCCCTAGCCTCTGTTTGTCAGAGGGTGGAGATGGGTGACAGGGTGGATCGCTTGATGATTCCTACTGGCCAATGTGGGAAGATCAGACACTGGGCTGGCTGGACCTTTGGTCTGACCCTGTCTGGCCATTCTTAAGAACCAGTTCAGACTTTTACCAAACTAAGTTCAGCCGTGGTGTCTGCTTGTTAACTTTTCAAAACAGCATTTCCACACTTTCGTCCATGCCGTCCCTCGTGGCTAGCTGATGCTCTCTTTCAACACTCGCAGAAGTCATGATCCTTCTTCAAAACCCTCCTTAAAACTCTCCTTGGCTATGAGGCCCACAAAAAGAACTTGACAAGAGCTAGCCTGCTGCTGTGCTGAGACCATGTCCTACATGCTGAACGTTACGGACTCTTCGTTTGGTCGGTCTGGATCCATCTGTTGCGTCTTGCTTTATACTTATACTGCAGATGTTGGGGGGCAGAGACCGGCTTCTTGTTCTGTGTTTGTACAGTAACTAGCACGATACAGATGGGCTGTGTCTAGACTGCATCCCTTTTCCGTAAAAGGGATGCAAATTAAACACATCGCAATTGCAAATGAAGCGGGGGAGGGGGGCATTTAAATCCCCGCTTCATTTGCAATTGCGATGTGTTTAATTTGCATCCCTTTTACGGAAAAGGGATGCAGTCTAGACACAGCCTTCTGCTCCAAGATTAGAGCTTTCGGGTGCTATCATAATACAAACGATACCAATAATAAGCGAAACCCCTTGTGAAACTATGGTACGCCCACATCTTGAATACTGTGTACAGATGTGGTCTCCTCACCTCAAAAAAGATATTTTGGCCTTGGAAAGGGTTCAGAAAAGGGCAACTAAAATGATTAGGAGTTTGGAACGGGTCCCATGTGAGGAGAGGTTAAAGTGACTGGGACTTTTCAGTTTAGAAAAGAGGAGACTGAGGGGGGATAGGATAGAGGTCTATAAAATCATGAGTGGTGTGGAGAGGGCTGATAAAGAAAAGTTATTTATTAGTTCCCTAAATAGAAGAACTAGAGGACACCAAATGAAATTAATGGGTAGCAGGTTTAAAACTAATAAAAGAAAGTTCTTCTTCATACAGCGTGTAGTCAACCTGTGGAACTCCTTGCCAGAGGAGGCTGTGAAGGCTAGGACTATAACAGAGTTTAAAGAGAAGCTAGATAATTTCATGGAGGTTAGGTCCATAAAAGGCTATTAGCCAGGGGAAACGCCCAAGGACAATCAGTGTGGACATAAACAAGACGTCTAACTGAATATCATGTTTTTAAAACTGACCCCAGCAAGGGTGAAGTCAGCTGGGATATGGGTCCTACATAAATAACTAGGAACTTCCAGTTATTTCAGTCAAAAATGACAGGGCCTTACTTGGGACCAGTTTTTAAACCAAATTGATACCTAATCAAGTTAGGTGCCTGAATACTTTTAAAGATAGGGCCCTGGGTCAAAAAAAGATGGTAGACATGGTGGCCTCTAAGTAGTGAAATAGTCGTGTGCTCTTCTGTACAGTCAATGGTTAACCTGAAGTAATCGCGTGTCCCCCCGCCAAAGCACCCAAACCGCGAGTCACAGCTAATGTTACACTTTTCTCATGAATTACTGAAGTGCAGACTGTCCGCATAAGGACTGTCTTACGCCCACTGCAACGGTGTAACAGCGCCGTGGCAAAGTCATTCGTACGGTGCGCTCGCCTGCGGAAAGTCTCCTGATTGGTTTGGGAGCGGCAAGTCCCTTCTGCTGCCCCACTCGATAAGAAGTTCCTCGCGCCACGCGTGAAGAAGGTCTATGCGCCAGCTCCTGAGACTGGCACTGTGCTGGGCGCCCCCATAGCTGGCGTCCAACGCTGCCCGTTCAGCAGTGTCTCCTTGATTGTCCCATCCCTTCACTGTGAGGCCACTATCCTGTTCTCGACTCCTTTCTCCAGCCGTTGGAGAGGTCAAAGGGCATTTGACTCTCATGCCAATGGCACTCCAGTCATCTGTCCCCAGTGAGGACTGTCACATAGCTGGCACGCTCTCCGCATCTTTACTGAACAGCCGCGTACTCCACATGGCCCCCGCCCGGTGGATCAGCTGTACCCAGGAAACGTGTTACCGCATCAGAAGGCTGTTCCTTCTCGTGCATATTTGGGCGTTTTGTGCCGGGAACCACCATGTCAATGACATGCGTGTATTTAACGTCGTCACCGTTCTGGTGACGTGAGCAATAGTCAGGGGACATTCCATCCATCGTGCTGCGTTCCCCTCCTCCAGCTCTTGCGCCGTTAACGATTGCTGCAGCGCCGTGGCCCATAGCACCGCCTGCATTTACCACACTGCGGTGGGAGCTGGGCGTTTTGTGCCGGGAACCACCATGTCAATGACATGCGTGTATTTAACGTCGTCACCGTTCTGGTGACGTGAGCAATAGTCAGGGGACATTCCATCCATCGTGCTGCGTTCCCCTCCTCCAGCTCTTGCGCCGTTAACGATTGCTGCAGCGCCGTGGCCCATAGCACCGCCTGCATTTACCACACTGCGGTGGGAGCCGACCCCCCAACTGCCCCGCCCCCAGCCTCCATCCAGCTTGTCCAGGGTGGAGATTGCCCAGTGCTTCACAGGTTGGCCTCAGACTCCAGCAGACCCCCTCCCCAGCCTCCAGTTGATACAAGGGATGGGATCTTCCCCCCCCCCAACTAGCCCCCAGCTGGTTGGGGGATAGAGCAGGGCTCCGAGGGACCAGTCCCTGGAGTGCAGCTGCCCCCTGCCCCCCAACTGCAGGTAGTCCCAGGGGATAGGGATCTGGGGGGCCAGCCTCAGCTGCCAGAAGCTCCCCTTCCCCCCGCCCTGCAACTGATCTGGGGAGGCAGGGTTCTGGGGGCCTGTCCCGGCCTCCAGCTGCCCCCCCACACACACACCTGCCACTGCAAACACAGATCAGGTGGCTTGATACATGTTTTCGTTGACATAAGATAAGCACAAGAGCACCAGCGGATAAAGAGCCGAGGGTCGTCACCTGACCTGTATCTCAAGGCACTTGCAACCATGCTTAGCATTCAGACAGCGTGCAGAAAACCAACGTCTTTAAGGAGGGTATTTCTGGCACAAAGGGAACATTGATCCCAGCGGCCAATGCTGCCGTGCCTGGGACCTCACTGACATTCAGCAGAGAAAAGCTGAAAGCACAAGACCAAGCAAAGAGAAGGAAAGTCCCCACCACCGAGCCACTAGGAGATTCAACCTGCTTCCAGACCTGAGTCCAGACCAGCTGTCCAGGAGCAACCCTCTGAGTCGAGATTCCTGTGGTGCAGATGGAGAACCCACATCTGACTGTCCCGGGGAGGAAAGGGAAGTGAAGGGGAAAGGCAGGTTCAGCCCCCAAAAGCCCCTTTTATGGATACACCAATTTGCATGCCCAGTTCACACTTGCTCCCAAACACGCGTGTGGTGCTTCTGCTCAGAGAAGCCACTTTTTAAAAGATCTCTGGCAAGGCCCCGACGCTCTGAGTCATCCCCACTTCAGGGCCCGGATGGGGATGTGTGCGAAATTGCACGTTGTCATGGTCATCGCAATGAGTCTCCCTCACGATTCGTCTTTGCTGCAACTTCCATCCTCCCAGAACTCGCCCCTTCCCCACTGCAGAGGGAGGCTCAGGGAGAGGGGCTGAGGTAACGCCACGCGTCTGGGCTGGAAGCGGGACTCTCCACCCACCCAAAGAGACATTTGATAAGGGGGATGGAGCCGGGAGCACAGGCCTTTCTGTTCTACCTGTTTCCCCAAAACACGAGGAAAGGCGCCGACTCATCAATAGTCCCTCATTCAAAATGGCCGTCCTCTCCCGTGAGGTCACTGGGGCTGGAGCCGGGCCAAAGGCCACCGTTTCCCGACAGTCTCTCAATAAAGATGGCCGCCACGTTCCATTGTGCGAGAGAGACCGAAGCGGTGCCCGAAGAGGCAGGATGAGGCAAGAGAAGTGACGGGGGCCTGGAAAAACTGGAGGCAAAATGGGAAGATAAAGAGTGGAGGGGGCCTGGAGAAGGGGGCAGGATG